GTTTAACCAAGCATAGGGCCCTTAAAGAGCTCTGAGTCAGGACTGTGGGCTAGAAAACACCTTTCATGTATTCCTGCTTCTCTGTATGTTAGGATTCCAGTTGAGTTTTAACTTCCTAAAACCCTTAGCCACTTACTTGTGTCCAATCTTTTCTTTTTTTCTTCTGCTTTATTTTTCTTTAATAATGTACACACACACACACACACACACACACACACACACACACACAGTCGTACATGGACACAGTACCTTTATTTATTTATTCTTATGTGGTGCTGATAATTGAACCTAGTGCCTCACACATGCTGGGCAAGTGCTGTACCACTGAGCTACAAATACAGCCCATAATGTTGAATCTTAATGAAGCTGTTTAATTGAAGAACTGGGAATTCCTGAATCTCAAGGTTGGGCCTTAAGGCTAACTGTCTGTGACTTCAGACCATGGTTGTATCCCCTGGGGGAGGAGTCTGATAGACTAGCAGATACTTACTGTGTGAAGATTTCAACCACAGCCTTTTAAAGAATTCTTAGTTTCATCCTTGCTTGGTACTGTACATGTTATTTGGAATTCAGTTGATGAATGATTAATGAAAGAATGAATGAATGATTCAGTGTGTTGGTATCAGCTTAATCCTTTCTGGATTATTAAAATCAAATGGGGAAATAAAGTATTTAAAAAATGGAATACTGCACAAGCAAAGAGATGCCTTTGTAGCAAGTAAGTGCAAACCAAGGAAAATAGGAATCCAAAAATAAAAGTATCTTGGGAGGGATTCGAAGGGCAGAAGTAAGATGATCTTTAATAGAATAAAGGCAAGAAAGCGTTGGGATCACTTACTTATGGTGCAGAAAATAAGAATGTTTTTTCCTTCCTGTTTATCACAGTGGAAAGGGAAGTCCTAAGAAAATTAGGCCTATGTGAGGTCATTGTATCTCCAGAGATGTATTCCTGATACTGCAATTTATTACTAACATTATTAGGGGTTTATTAGTTAATGATTTCATCTTGTCATTCTTTAGGATAGTTCTTAAAGGTGGTGCTGTCTGACTTACCCACCTCAACATCTGATTGGTCCTGTAACCAGTTAATTCCATGTTTGTTTGTTTTTTTGGAACACTTGCTGTAACTCAGAATATTATCTAAAAAATAAAATGTTAATGACAGAAAAAAGAAACCTAATAAAATGCATTGGCTAGATCATAAAATACTGTGTGATCTCTTGGGCTTACTAGCCAAAGACATTTCTTTCTTTCTTTCTTTTTTTTTTTTTGCTTGTAGATGGACACAATATCTTTATTTATTTATTTTTATATGGTGCCAGGATCGAACCCAGTGCCTCATGTATTCAAGGCAAGTGTTCTACTACTATGCTACAACCCAGCCCCCAAGGACACTTCTTAGGACTCTCTGCTCTGCAGTAGTAATCTATATCACATACATACATTAAGCATAAAAATATTTCTGAGACAGTGTTAGAACCAGTTCAGTGGGAGAACAATACTATATTCCTATATTTACTGTGAAAGGAATTTGGAAGAATCTGTTCTGTTTAGGACCTGGTTAGTCCTGAAATGTACAGAGTGTTCTAGACCTAATTGCAGATAAATTATTACTTTCTGTTGGTGGTAGTTCTTCATAGAAGAGCAGCTTCCAATGAATGGTCACTCTGCCAAGGGAAAGTTGTTCAGGGGACTTAAGAATTTAAAAGAAGGTTAGAAACTGGTGAGTTAGAATGCTAATTAGACACCAGTGAAAGATAACCTTCCACTGGAAAAGCTGAGCTTGGAATACTGAAGAACAAGAACAGTGGACACTTAGACCAACAACTCTTAGGAGGAGGGCTGATTTTCTCTCAGTGGGAAATCTTACATCCCTAAAGGAAAAATAAGTATGTGATTAATGTAGAAGCCTGTTGCTGTTGAGACAGGAATGACATATTTTCAGGTTTGGAAATGAACATCAATCTGGCAGAAAGAAGCCAATACTCAGGACAGACAATTAAATGGCAATAACACTTTAATCTATAATATATCCAACTGAAATTCCTTTTTTAAAACAGTGTAGCTGAATTCACCCTGAAATGAGACCCTGTGAGTTTTAAGTGGAGACTGTTTCACAACTGAAATAGAACCAGCCTACTTTCTTCTTCGTTTGGTGCTTCACCTAATGCTGTAGAATTATGAGTGCATCTTTTATGAGCTTCACATACTCCTCCCTATTGTGAATTATAAACTATCCTGAATTCTTCCTCCACATCTTTTTTTCCTTTTACTCTTTATTTTTATATTTGGACTTATTTTTAACACTAACTTTTCTAAATTTTTTTCCTACTTTTGTCTACACACTCTCTCACACATACACAATTATATTTGTTTTTTTTTTCACTTCTTTTTTTTTTTAATTTTTTATTGTTGGTTGTTCAAAACATTACATAGTTCTTGATATATCATATTTCACACTTTGATTCAAGTGGGTTATGAGCTCCCATTTTTACCCCATATACAGATTGCAGAATCACATCAGTTACACATCCATTGATTTACATATTGCCATACTAGTGTCTGTTGTGTTCTGCTGCCTTTCCTATCCTCTACTATCCCCCCTCCCCTCCCCTCCCCTCCCCTCTTCTCTCTCTGCCCCCTCTACTGACATTCATTTGTCCCCCTTGTATTATTTTTCCCTTTCCCCTCACTTCCTCTTGTATGTACTTTTGTATAACTCTGAGGGTCTCCTTCCATTTCCATGCAGTTTCCCTTCTCTCTCCCTTTCCCTCCCACCTCTCGTCCCTGTTTAATGTTAATCTTCTTCTCATGCTCTTCGTCCCTACTCTGTTCTTAGTTACTCTCCTTATATCAAAGAAGACATTCGGCATTTGTTTTTTAGGGATTGGCTAGCTTCACTTAGCATAATCTGCTCTAATGCCATCCATTTCCCTGTAAATTCTATGATTTTGTCATTTTTTAATGCAGAGTAATACTCCATTGTGTATAAATGCAACATTTTTTTTATCCATTCATCTATTGAAGGGCATCTAGGTTGGTTCCACAGTCTTGCTATTGTGAATTGTGCTGCTATGAACATCGATGTAGCAGTGTCCCTGTAGCATGCTCTTTTTAGGTCTTTAGGGAATAGACCAAGAAGGGGAATAGCTGGGTCAAATGGTGGCTCCATTCCCAGCTTTCCAAGAAATCTCCATACTGCTTTCCAAATTGGCTGCACCAATCTGCAGTCCCACCAGCAATGTACAAGTGTACCCTTTTCCCCACATCCTCGCCAGCACTTGTTGTTGTTTGACTTCATAATGGCTGCCAATCTTACTGGAGTGAGATGGTATCTTAGGGTGGTTTTGATTTGCATTTCTCTGACTGCTAGAGATGGTGAGCATTTTTTCATGTACTTGTTGATTGATTGTATGTCCTCCTCTGAGAAGTGTCTGTTCAGGTCCTTGGCCCATTTGTTGATTGGGTTGTTTGTTCTCTTATTGTCTAATTTTTTGAGTTCTTTGTATACTCTGGATATTAGGGCTCTATCTGAAGTGTGAGGAGTAAAGATTTGTTCCCAGGGTGTAGGCTCCCTATTTACCTCTCTTATTGTTTCTTTTGCTGAGAAAAAACTTTTTAGTTTGAGTAAGTCCCATTTGTTGATTCTAGTTATTAACTTTTGTGCTATGGGTGTCCTATTGAGGAATTTGGAGCCCGACCCCACAGTATGTAGATCGTAGCCAACTTTTTCTTCTATCAGACGGCGTGTCTCTGATTTGATATCAAGCTCCTTGATCCATTTTGAATTAACTTTTGTGCATGGCGAGAGAAAGGGATTCAGTTTCATTTTGTTGCATATGGATTTCCAGTTTTCCCAGCACCATTTGTTGAAGATGCTATCCTTCCTCCATTGCATGCTTTTAGACCCTTTATCAAATATAAGATAGTTGTAGTTTTGTGGATTGGTTTCTGTGTCCTCTATTCTGTACCATTGGTCCACCCGCCTGTTTTGGTACCAGTACCATGCTGTTTTTGTTACTATTGCTCTGTAGTATAGTTTGAAGTCTGGTATTGCTATACCGCCTGATTCACACTTCCTGCTTAGCATTGTTTTTGCTATTCTGGGTCGTTTATTTTTCCATATGAATTTCATGATTGCTTTCTCTATTTCTACAAGAAATGCCGTTGGGATTTTGATTGGCATTGCATTAAACCTATAGAGAACTTTTGGTAATATCACCATTTTGATGATGTTAGTTCTGCCTATCCATGAACAGGGTATATTTTTCCATCTTCTAAGATCTTCTTCTATTTCTCTCTTTAGGGTTCTGTAGTTTTCATTGTATAAGTCTTTCACCTCTTTTGTTAGGTTGATTCCCAAGTATTTTTACTTATTATTTATTTTTGTGGGACTGGGCATTGAATCCAGTGGGGCTTTACCACACCATCCCTGACCCTAAAGTTTTTTATTTTGAGGGGCTGGGATTGTAGCTCAGTGGTAGAGCACTTGCCTAGCATGTGTGAGGCACTGGGTTTAATCCTCAGCACCACATAACAATAAATAAAATAAAGATATTGTGTTCATCTACCACCACCAACACAAAAAATTAAAAAGGTTATTATTTTTTTTTTTTTTTTTAATTTTGAGACAGGATCTTGCTAAATTCCTGGGCTTGAACTTGGGATTCTCCTGCCTCAGCCTCCTGGGATTACAGGCATTCACCACCACACCTGGTTTATCTTTCATTCTTTTTTGGGGGTGGTAGGGTGGGTACTGGGGATTGAACTCAGGGGCACTCAACCACTGAGCATCACATCCCCAACCCTTTTCTTTTTGGTATTTTATTTAGAGACATGGTCTCATTGAGTTGCTTATTGCCTCGCTGTTGTTGAGGCTGGCTTTGAACTGACGATCCTCCTGCCTCAGCCTCCTGAGCTGCTGGGATTATAGGCATGTGCCACCGTGCCTGGGTTATCTTTCATTCTTTAAAGTCAGATTTTACTTTCTGTATGGAGGTATGAAGAAAACACTTCGGGATGAGATTGAAGCCATTCTGAAGAAGAGGATTATGGTGCTTGATGGTGGAATGGGGACCATGATCCAGCGGTACAAGCTAAGTGAAGAAAAGTTCCAAGGTCAAGAATTTAAAGACCATGCCAAACCACTGAAAGGCAACAATGACATTTTAAGTATAACTCAACCTGATATCATTTACCAAATCCATAAGGTAATTTTTCCAGCTTCTTAACGTTCACTCAAACTGTTTCATGTACTGAGTCAGAACACTCCTGTGTGCTCTGGAGAATACAGAAGAAAGATGATTTATTAAGAAAGCTGGTGTGGGATATAAAATAAAAGTGTGTTTAGTGTTTAGTATTTGGGATAAGCAGATAAGAAGTAGTTGGTTTTATGCTTTTGAGGCAAACCCAGTAAAGAACCCTAAAATTCTGGACAAATTAAGGGTTCACTACCTTGTTTAAGTCACTGACACAGCTCTTAAGAAGAAATCTCAAAAGATGGTATCTTAGTTGATTTGGGCGGCTGTGATAAGTTAGACTGGATGGCTTAAACAACAGTATTCTTTTTTTTTTTTTTTTTTTTTTACAGTTTTTGGGATTGAAGTGCCAGCAGATTTGGTGCCTGCTATGGGCCCTCTTCCTATTCACAGATAACCATCTTCTCATTGTGTCCTCACATGGTGGAGAGCAGAAAGTGAAAGCAAAGTCTGTGTCTTATAAGGGCAGCTATGTTGTAAATATTGGTGTACACCTAAGAGTCACCTGTTAAAACCTAATGCCCAATGTGATGGTGGTAAGAGGCACCCTTTTAATAGAGGGAGCTCGTTCACCTCTTCCATGTGAGGGCACAGTGAGAAGCTGTCCTCTGTGAACCAGGAAGCAGGCCCTCACCCATTACAAAATCTCAAGACATAACTACCGTTCACATATTCTAGTTGATTTTTCATCTAGTTTTCTAGTGAGGAATGATAGTGCAGGCTTGTAGTTCCAGTGACTTGGGAGGCTGAGGCAGGAGGATTGCAAGGTCAAGGCCAGCTTTAGCAACTTGAAGCCCTTAGTAATTTAGTAAGACCATGTCTCAAACGGGCTGGGGTAGTAGCTTGGTGGTATAGTACCCTGTGGTTTGAACCCTGATACCAAACAAAACAAAAAACCCCAATAACATTTTGTATAGTTTTCTGCACTTGGATTTTTAAAAATTAAGTTAAATTTTATTGCTTCATACTATTTTATAATTTGTAGCTTTTACTTATATACATTAGCATTAAATGTTCTAAAACATGGCTTTATAATTTCATAATAACCTGTTCTTTGCTTAATTAATCTGTTATTCATAGGCATTAAGGTTGTTTTTCATTTTTCTTATTCTTTGTTAAAAAATTAAATTTTAAAATTTATTCTTATAAAACAAAATCTAATGATAAGAATAAATTCCCATCAACTTCTCCACATTGCTATTTTTTTTCCCCCAGAGATGACCACTCTTAGTTGCTCTCTGTCTTTTCAGATCCTTGTGTTATATGTTTAAACATTTATTTATGTATGTGTAGGAACTGTTAGTACACATATGTTTTAGTAGTATCATCTTTACATATTATTCTGTTTTGGTTTTCTTTTTCTTTTTCTTTTTTTTTTTTTTTGATAGTGGGGATTGAACCCAAGGGAATTCTGTCTACTACTGAACTACATCCCCAGCCCTTTTTTTTTTTTTTTGAGACAGATTCTCCCTAATTTGCTTAGGCTGACCTCAAATCTGTGATCTTCTTGCCTTAGCTTCCCAAGTTGCTAGAATTAAATGTGTGAGCCACCATGCTTAGCTTTATTTTGTTTTTTCTGCTAAACAATACTTTGAAAGATCTTCATATATAGGATATGGAGATTTTTTTAAAAGCTTTATTTTTTTAGCTGTCATATGGCTGGTAATAAAATGATTATATAATTTATTTAGCTGTCTTCTTGTTGACAGTATTTAGGATGTTTGTGACTTATTGTTGTTACATTTGTGTTTATGTTGTTTTTCATTGCCTAGCTTTTTTGCAAACATTGTTCATCAGCTCAGGAAGGATTGAATTTACTCATTGTTCGAAAATCAGGGGGATTGAGAGATTCCAGGGCATTAGATTGAGATTGAATTCGTATCCAAGGAGTGAAATCAGGAAGATGGGTTTCAAACAGAGAGAACAAACTGTATGGTATTAGAGTCCTTAAGGTTCCAGTAAGGGTGTAGGTCTGGGCCAGAGGGAATAGGAGATGTGGACTAAAAAAAGGGTCTGAATTTGAGATCTCACTGATGGTACAGTTTTCAGTGGGGATCAGGGGGTGCTGAAGCAAGGAGAAGGTAAGAGGTCAGAATTGATGTTTGTTGAGTGCCCAAGATGTGCCAGACATGTGAAGTGTTACCTTGTATTATATAGCTTCACTGACTGAAGAAGAGGGTTATAGTACTTTCAGATGAGGAGACTGGGACTGAGAGTTGAAGGAACTTGACAGAATTTATATAACCTTAGTGTGTTAACTTCATCTGAATGGAAGTTCTGTGCTTATTTCTTGAAACACATGCCTTTTTGTGAAATCCTTATACCTTCCTGTGACTCTAGTTTCTGACGCACTGTCTTACCCTTGGTAAGTAGTCAAAAGGTGGTTGGCAGTGCAGTGATGGAGATGAAAGGATGTGTTTATTTTTGGGGGACAGGGACTCTGAACTGAGATTGATATGATTGTGTTGTTGCAGGAATACTTGCTGGCTGGAGCAGATATCATCGAAACAAATACTTTTAGCAGCACTAGTGTTGCCCAGGCTGACTATGGCCTTGAACACTTGGTAAGAACTTCACTTTTCCTCCAACTTGAGAAGCTTATGAGCTTTTGCTATGTTGGTAGTTGTTAGTAAGAAAACCATTTGAAGCTGCAGGGTGAAGCTAATGGCTCGTTTGTTGTTTGTGGTGATACATGGAAAATAGTTTGAAACTCTTCTGCTTATGAGCAAAGCAACCCATTCATTTTCTAAATCGTTTCTTTTATGGACAAGTAACAATCAAATAAAAATGATGCTTGTTTTGCAGTTGCTTTTGGTAAAGTCATAATCATTGTGTGCACCTATAGATAATATGTAAATAAATAGTTACAGATTGCATTCCAGAAAAACTTTATTTATAAAAATAGGGCCTAGATTGCCTATGAGCCGTACTTTGCCAACCACACTTAGGATATTATGGTTTCTTAATTATCTGATGTGAGGATCTAAGGCACATGGATCTTAAGAGTTGGAAGAGATCATGAAGTTCACAATCCAGGACCTGGCATGTGGAAGGGCTCTTGAAGAGACCCATACTTCCTTAACTTGCAGGTCACACTGTGTGTGTATGTGCTTATTTTCCCATAAGATGGTTCATGGTCCTTTATCAAATTCTATTTTTTTAAAAATAGTTTTTAGTTGTCAATGGACCTTTATTTTTTTTTAAATGTATTTATATGCAGTGCTAAGAATTGAACCCAGTGCCTCATACATGCTAGGCAAGCATTCTACCATTGAGCCACAACCCCAGACCCCTTTATCAAATTCTTAAGAGGCTAATAATCTGCAGAAAGTTTAGAACTACTCATTCAGCCATTTTACAGTGAAGGAAATCAGGACCAGGGAAAGTTGCTGTGGGATTGTCTGGCCAGGCAGTGACAGTGCTAGACCTAGAACCTAGGTCCAAGTCTGTGTTTTCCCCATTATTGTTTTTTGTAATTTGCAGAATATATAACTATACCAGTTATTCTGTGGCATGCCAGGTGTCCAGTGTTTTTTTTTTTTTTTTACCACTGGCTTATGGTTTGGGAGAAGATCCTTTTAGAAGAAGTTCCCAAGGACTTGCCATTCCCTACTACCTTTTGAGGCTAGGATAACTGATAGCCTTCTTGGCTAAGTTTTCACTTTGATCTCATGTTAATTCACTTTGCATTTATTTTCTGAATACAACTAGGTATTAGATGGCTATATAGATGCTTTATTTATTGCATGGAGGAAAAGCAGGACAAACTAACGTTAGTGGTTGATGTGTTAGGCCTACCGGATGAACAAGTGCTCTGCAGGTGTGGCCAGAAAAGCTGCTGAAGAGATAACTCTACAGACAGGTAAAGGATGCTCTTCTTTCTTTCTTGTACAACGATTGCTTCAGTGTTCTTGGCTATAATGTGTTGTTCTTACTGCAGTTTTCCTTACATGACCTTTGGCTATGAGCAGTTGTAGATACTGTATTTTAATTTGTTTGTAGGTTGCTTCTCTGCAGTTTCATAATGAAGTTTATTCACCATCTCTGCTGCCATGCTATTTCTGGGGGCCTTGGACTCGGTTTTTTTTTTTTTTTTAAACCCTGACATTGTTTATAGCCTGACTTTGTAGCTAGGCCCATTACTTTCCTGTGAAAGAGCTATAATGGAAACCCCTCATCAGGTTCTTAAAGGTATAGCTGGCTGATTTGATTATTTTTGTTATCATTAGGACATTTGATATCATCACTCTAAAGCCACCCTGCTCCCAGGGCTGGCTTATTTAATATTTAAGCAAAGGGAAGCCTTTGTAGCATTTTCCACTTTATCCTGCTAATGACCTTGAAGGCACTGCAGCACACAGAAGAGTCCTTAGATTCAGTCTTACTGAGACTTGAAAAGTGTTCTGAAATAACTAACCTCCTACAGGTTGCCCTCAGAACAATGGCTGGTGGGAGAATTTTAAGAGAGAGATGGAATAGAGGAAATAAATGGAGCCCTTTAGGATTTGGAAATGTGAAATTATTGCCAATAGGAAATATATAATGCAGAATTGTTAGGAAGTTAGGTAAGCATACTAATGAAAACCAATCAACTTAATAGGAACTCTGTTGCTAAGAGATAATGTTTAAATCCACAGTAATGTGTGAACAGGTCAGAGGATACTGAACCAGCTGAAGCAGGGAGAGATAAGGACATTTTTCTCACACTATATTATTGCTCATCTTTGCAGAAGATAAAAAGTATTTGGGCCTGTAGCCTGCTCATAAGCTGGGTTATTAACTAGTTGTAGTCTTCTCCAGTTTAGTCCTACAGCACAGCCCACGTCATTGAGTGGCTACAGTCACCAGAGGCAGTGAGTGGTGTGATATGCAGATATGAACAACATCTCCATGTGGCCCAGAGGCAGGGTTATTAAAGAATTGTTAAAGCAGTATTAAATCTGCTTCATACTTGAATTTCAATTTTATAATTGTTAATTTTGACTTAAACATTTCAGGTTAACATCAGGATCTTCAAGATTTCTTTTTTATTATATTTTTTAATTGATATTTTTAGTTGTTGATGGATCTTTATTTACTTATTTGCAGTGCTGAGAATCAAACCCAGTGCTTCAAACATGCTAGGCAAGTGTTCTACCACTGAGTTGCAACTTCAGCCCCTCTTCAAGGTTTCTTAAGAATGGGGAGACAATTTGTCCAAACATAGTGAGGTGGTAGAAAAGGATTACTTATAGAAAGACTTTGAGGTTGCATATGTGAGGATTTAGTTGTTTTGATTGGCTTGGTGAGAATATTTAAATATCCCCTATAGTTCATGATTTTCCCAGGGAGTCTGGGCATCCCCCATAACCAAACATGTATTAGCAGAATCTGTGAACAAGTGCACTAAAAGGCAAAAAAGACTATAAACAGCTGTTTATTACTTCAGTAGAAGGCAGGTTTGTTGTCAATTCAATTAAGAAAAAAAATTTGGGCTTTGAGAGCTTTTTAGATTTTGAGTTGTGGGCAAAGCCCTGTGTTCTACGAGGAGTCTTATAGTCTGTTAGTTTACAACAAAAAAATTTGAGTTAAGAGAATTTATTCTTGTTTTTCTTTTCCCAAAGGAATCAAGAGGTTTGTGGCAGGAGCTCTGGGTCCAACTAATAAGACACTCTCTGTGTCTCCATCTGTGGAAAGACCAGATTTTAGGAACATCAGTGAGTATTTATGACACATAATCAGGGACCTTGAAAAAGTACCCTTGTGCTTTAGTAATATGTAAAGTGGGGACAGTAACAGGATTTACTTCAGGGATATTGTGATTTTTATCTATGAAAAGGGTTTACAGTATAGTGTTTTGAAATACGGTGGATATCTAAATAAAAAGTGAACTGCTCTTATTATTTGAGCTTGCTCTCAGATGTATATGGTGATTTGTTAGTTGTTCTTTATCATCTGTTGAAACAAAACCAATTTTAAGAAAGTTTCAAAGTGAAAAGTAGAGAACATCTGAATACCAGCTCTTGGTATATTATAAAAGACCCAGTATATTGCCATTTAATTTAAAGTAATACAAACTATCTAAATGTACTAGTATTAAAAAATTAAAAACTAGTATATGTAAATGTACTTTATTCTGATTTGACCCGAAACTCAGGAATCTAAGTCAGTGTCTAAGCATCAAGACTACAAAAAACAAAAAGAATTAAACTTTCAGGCTGAATACTAACAATACCATATATGGTAATGCATTTTGTATAGATGACAATTTCACACAATTACAGTTTGTTGGTTTTTGTTACAGCACTTTGCATGTTGTGTTACTTCATTATGTGTATGTGATTGATGGTCTCTCTGGTCTAGACATGACAGTGGGGAGCTAACCTCTCCTCTTCCTGTACTGGTATACATAAACACAGCAAGCATAACTTTGCTACTTAGGCTTCTCTCATAGAACACCTAAGTATTTTTTTCTGTTTTGGTTGGGAGATAAAATGGGGAGAGAGATAACTACCTCTCAGGTGAATATAGACAGCACAGTACATTTCTAGCAAATATTTTACCTGGGAGTAAAATTTTGTTTGATATCAAAATTGCCCATCAGAGAGGTTGCCTCTCTGAAAGAGTTGATCTAAAGGATTGAGTGAAAATTACAGGAGTGTAGCCTTTTACCACAGAGTGTGAGACTTCAAGTCAACTTGTGTTGTATCCAGATTATGTTTCTTACCCTCCAAAGATCTCTCTTAATTGATTAATTAGAATGATTTTTAGGGTTGGACATGGTGGCACATGTCTGTAATCCTGGTGGTTCTGGAGGCTGAGGGAGGAGGATCTAAAGTTGGAAGGTAGCCTCAGCAACTTAGTGAGGCCCTGTCTCAAAATAAAAAATGAGAAGGGCTGGGGATGTGGTTCAGTGGTTAAGTGCCCTGGGTTCAATCCCTGAGACCAAAAAAAAAAAAGTCTTTGAGAAAAAATGTATTTTAAAGAGTTGAGAATAAAGTACATGGTTCAGGAAATTGACACACCTTCCTACTCACTCCTAGCTTATCCATGGGAAGGGAAGTCATGTGGCAAGTATTCAGAAACAGGTGTGTTCAGTTTGCTTGTTTTCTTTCTGTCACTGCCATATTTCTTTTTAAATTTTCTTTTTTTTTATCACTGTGTTATTTTTTTATTTGGTTTCTTATAGACATTGTGTTTTAGCCAGCCATATGGCACTCATCTATGATTCCATCAACTCCAGAGGCTGAGGCAGGAGGATCACAAGTTTGAGGCTATCCTTGGCAACTTATTGAGATCCTGTCTCAAAAAAAAAAAAAAATGTATGGGATGTAGGTCAGTGGTCAAGCATCCCTGGGTTCAATACCCAGTACTGAAGGAAAAAAAGTTTGTTGTTTTCAACGGATGCATTATAAGCCAGCAGTGGTTCAGTGTGCTAGCCCTGAAGTCACTTTACCTGAGTGCAATTCAGAGGATGTTGGTGACTGATGTGATGGGTGTGACTTACTTTTTTGCAGCATTTGATGAGCTTGTTGAAGCATACCAAGAGCAGGCCAGAGGACTTCTGGATGGTGGGGTTGATATCTTACTCATTGAAACTATTTTTGATACTGCTAATGCCAAGGTGAGTTAAGGTAGAAAAAGGGAAAAGGTGGGGGTAGAGGGTATGATGAATCTCTTTTTTTTTTTTTTTAGGTGGACACAATATCTTTGTTTTACATTTATGTGGTGCTGAGGATCGAACCCAGTGCCTCATGCATGTTAGGCGAGCGCGCTACCACTGAGCCACAGCCCTAGCCCCATGATGTATTTCTTAATATAGTAAGAAGATAATGACCATTACAATTTCAAAAGAACAGGTTTTTTTAGCATTTAAAATGTTTTTCTCATTATGAAATTTTAAAAAAATATTTCATTTTTTTAGTTGTAGTTAGATGCAATACCTTTAATTAATTATTTTATTTTTTTATGTGGTGCCAAGGGCCTCACATGTGCTATTTGAGCACTCTACCACTGAGCCACAACCCCAGCCGTCATTATGAAAATATTTGCATACATAATTGATATGTGTGCATATATGCATATGTGATGTTTGCATGCTCATGATTATGAATTCAAAAGGTATATAAATACATGGGATGAAAAGTAGATATCCTCCCTTCTAGTCCTGGGTATCTAGGTTTCCTCCTGGAAATACCTGCTATTACCAGTTTGGGGGTCTTGACAGAATTTCTATACAGATACAAGCATGCATGTATGTGTGTGTGCATTTATGTTTTGTTTTTTACATATGTATAACACATAATTGTATAGAGTGAAAAGTAAATGTCCTTATATGTATGTGTTTGCACAGTGCATCTGTAGGATAAATTTCTACAAGTGAAACTGTTAAGTCAAAAGCATAAGCAAAAACTGGGCGTGGTGGTGCATGCCTGTTATCCCAGCAACTTGTGAGGCTGAGGCAGGAAGATCACAAGTTTGAGGCCCACTTCAGCAACTTAGTGAGGCCCTAAGCAACTTAATGAGACCTGTCTCAAAATAAAAAATAAAAAGGGCTGGGATAAAGTGCCCCTGGGTTTAATCCCCAATACAAAAAAAACATTATATAAATATTTTTACTTAAGTGTCAAATTTTCCTCTTCTGAGATTGTACTCATTTATATTCCCATTAGCGAGCACTTACAGTAGTGCTAGTTTTATTATAGCCTCTTTAATACCATGTATTGTTAAATGTTTTGAACTTTTCCAGCTTGACACATGAAAAATATTTTCTCACTGTAGTTTAATTTGTATTTTTCTTACTATAATTGAAGCTGAGCATTTTTCTTTACTTTAAGAGTCATTAATATTTCCTTTTCTATGATTTATGTCCTGTACTCTTTTTTTTTTTATTGGATTTTTAGTCTTTTTTATTGGGTTTTTTACTGAGGCAGTCAGGCCTTGTCAATCATGAGTAGCAAATACCATCTTCTAGTTTGTGGCTTGATTTTTGATTTTATTAGTAGTAGTGATGGTGAGCTGGGGGCATACCTCAGTTGGTAGAGTGCTTGCTTCACATGCACAAGGCCCTGGGTTCAATCACCAACACTACAAACAAAACAAAAAAATCATTGCTGTGCTTGGTGGTGCATGCCTGTAATCCCAGCAGCTTGGGAGGCTGAGACAGGAGAATTGAGAGTTCAAAGCCAGCCTCACCAACTTCAAGACACTAAGTAACTCAGTGAGATCCCCCCCCCCCCCCCCCCCCCCCCCAAAAAAAATAGGGCTGGGGATGTGGCTCAGTGGTCGAGTATCCCTGAGTTCAATCCCCAGCACCAAAAAAAAAGTAGTAGTGATGGTGAAATTATTGTGAAGTTGTTGATTTTAATAATGTAGGAGAATTTTAATTTTCTATAGTTTACAGATATTTTTTCCTTTTTGGGTGAGGAGGCTGTACTTAATAGGAACATTTCTTATTCAAAGATTATGAAGGAAAAAATGGGCTGGGTGTGGTGGCACATGCCTGTAATCTCAGTGGTTTGGGAGGCTGAGACAGTGGGATTTCAAGTACAAAGCCAGCCTCAGCAACTTAGCAAGGCTCTTTTTAAAAAAGCCCAAAAAACATAAAACAAAGGATTGGGGATGTTGCTCCAGGTTAAGGGGTCTGGATTCAATCCCTGGTGTGGGAAAAAAAAAAAAAAAAAAAGAAGGAAAAATGGTCCTCCTCCCCTAGTACTTTACAATTTTATCAAGTCCTAATTGTCAAGATACATAGTTCTTATAGCTATACTACTAAAATTAAGTGGTTATGGAATAATTTGAATTATGTTTCCTCTGTCTTATTACAGAATTTATAGTGTACCCATTCCTAATATTATCAATAAGGAATAATTATAATAAGCTACATCTGCTTATGACAAATGGACCTGAAATCATTAATTGGTTAGTCATCTGTCAGTCATGTAGCATTGTTATTGTAGCCAGCCTCATCCAGACACCATGATGTTTATAGAAGCTATAATCCTAATAATGGCCCATGGGCTTACATCATCAGTACTGTTTTGTCTCAGCAGTGAACCAGCCCATAGTAGAACCATAATTTTAGCTTGAGAATTCCAATCAGTTTTCTTTTTTTTTAAATTAATTTTTAAAATTTATATATGACAGCAGAATGCATTACAATTCGTATTACACATATAGAGCACAATTTTTCATATCTCTGGTTGTATACAAGTATATTCACAACAAATTGTGTCTTCATACATGTACTTTGGATAATAATGTCCATCACATTCCACCACATTCCCATGCCCCCTCCCTTCTCCTCCCACCTCTCTACCCTATCTAAAATTCATCTAATCCTCCCATGCTCCCCCTTCCTATCCCACTATGAATCAGCCTCCTTATATTAGATAAAACATTCGGCATTTGTTTTTTGGCTAACTTTTTAGCATTATCTTCTCTAACTCCATCCCTTTATCTGCAAATGCCATGATTTTATCCTCTTTTATTGCTGAGTAATATTCCATTGTGTATATATGCCACATTTTTTTTTTTTTATTCATTCATCTATTGAAGAGCATCTAGGTTGGTTCCACAGTTTAGCTATTGTGAATTGTACTGCTATAAACATTGATGTGGCTATGTCCCTGTAGTATGCTGTTTAAGTCCTTTGGGTGTAGACCGAGGAAAGGGATAGCTGGGTCAAATGGTGGTTCCATTCCCAATTTTCCAAGGAATCTCCATACTGCTTTCCATATTGGCTGCACCAGTTTGCAGTTCCACCAGCAGTATATGAGTGTACCTTTTTCCCCACATCCTCACCAACACTTATTGTTGTTTGTATTCTTAATAGCTGCCATTCTGACTGGAGTGAGATGAGCTCTTAGAGTGGTTTTGATTTGCATTTCTGTAATTGCTGGCAGTGATGAACATTTTTCACATATTTGTTGATGGATTGTATATCATCTTCTGAGAAGTTTCTGTTCAGGTCCTTAGCCCATTTATTGATTGGGTTATTTGTTTTTTTGGTGCTTAGCTTTTTGAGTTCTTTATATACCCTAGAGATTAGTGCTCTATCTGATGTGTAAGGGGTAAGATTTGCTCTCAAGATGTAGGTTCTCTATTCACCTCACAGATTGTTTCTTTTGCTGAGAAGAAATTTTTTAGTTTGAATCCATCCCATTTATTGATTATTTTTTTTTTTAAAGAGAGAGAGGAGAGAGAGAAAGTTTTTAATGTTTATTTTTCAGTTTTCAGTGGACACAACATCTTTATTTTATTTTTATGTGGTGCTGAGGATTGAACCCAGCGCCCCGCGCATGCCAGGCGAGCGCATTACCGCTTGAGCCACATCCCCAGCCCCCCCATTTATTGATTCTTGATTTTAATTCTTGCACCAAAGGAGTCTTATTAAGGAAGTTGGGGCCTAATTCCACATGATGGAGATTAGGGCCTACTTTTTCTTCTGTTAGACGCAGGTTCTCTGGTTTTATTCCTATGTCCTTGATCCATTTTGAGTTGAGTTTTGTGCATGGGGAGAGAGGGGTTTAATTTCATTTTGTTGCATATGGATTTCCAGTTTTCCCAGCACTGTTTGTTGAAGAGTCTGTCTTTTCTCCAGTGCATATTTTTGGCACCTTTGTCTAAATAAGATGATTATAATTTTGTGGGTTAGTCTCTGAGTCCTCTATTGTATACCATTGGTCTACCAGTCTGTTTTGGTGCCAATACCATGCTGTTTTTATTACTATTGCTCTGTAGTATAGTTTAGAGATCTGGTATAGTGATGCCACCTGCTTCACTCTTCCTGTTAAGGATAGCTTTAGCTATTCTGGGTCTTTTATTTTTCCAGATGGATTTCACACTTTTTCTATTTCTATGAGGAATGTCATTGGGATTTTGATCGGAATTGCATTAAATCTGTGTAGTGCTTTTGGTAGTATGGTCATTTTGATAATATTAATTCTCCCTATTCAAGAACAAGATAACTCTTTTTATGTTCTAAGGTCTTCTTTGATTTCTTTCTTTAGGGTTCTGTAATTTTTATTATATAGATCTTTCACCTCTTTCATTAAGTTGATACCCAAGTATTTTATTTTATTTTTTGAGGCTATTATAAATAGAGTAGTTTTCTTCATTTCCCTTTTTGAGAATTTGTCACTGATATACAGAAGTGCATTTGATTTATGGGTGTTGATTTATAAATGATCATAGATACAGAGGAAATGCTCCACTATCTAATTAAGTAGAGATACTTATATGCTTTATTTTTATTTTTATTTTTTTGGTACCCGGGATTAAACCCAGGTATGCTCAACCACTGAGCTGTATCCCCAGCCCTTTCTATTTTTTTATTTTTTTTATTTTTTGAGACAGGGTCTCACTAAGTTGCTAAGGCTGGTCTTGAACTTGTCTCAGCCTCCATAGTTGCTGGGATTACAGGTGTGTGCCACTGTGTCTGGCAACTTATCACCCTTTTCCCCCACATTAAAAAAAAAAATATTTATTTGTTTTTTTAAAGAAGTAGTTGAACACAATACCTTTATTTATTTATCTTTATGTGGTGCTGAGGATCGAATCCAGGGCCTTGCACATGCTAGGCAAGCACTCGACTGCTGAGCCACAACCCCAGCCCCTCCCTCACATTATTTTATTGATGTATTATAGTACATATTGATGAGCTTTGTTGTTACTTATTTGTACATTCACACAAGGTAATAATTGGCTAATATCACTCCCCAGCATTACCCCGCCCCACTTCCTACCCTTTGATCCCTTCCTCTACTGATCTTTCTTTGATTTTTAGGAAATTCATTCCTGCCTTTCTTTTCCTTTTTCTTCTGTATCTTCTGTGTGAGAAAATACATTCTACTGTTAACCTTCTAAGTTTGACATATTTTGCTTAACATGATGGTCTCTAGTTCCATCCAATTTCCTGCAAATGACATGATTTTATTCTTCTTTATGGCTGAGTAAAACTCCGTTGTGTATATATACCACATTTTCTTTATCCATTCATCCATTGATGGATACCTTGGCAGCTTCCATAGTTTGCTTATTGTGAATTGTGTTGCTATAGGCATGGGTATGCTTGTATCACTGTAGTAAGATGACTTTAAGTTTTCAGGATAAATATCAAGAAGTGGTATAGCTGGGTCATATGGTATTTCCATGCCTAGTCTATTGAGGAGCCTCCGTACTGATTTTCATAGTGTTGTACTAATTTACAGTCCCACCAACAGTAAAAAAGTGCTCCTTTTTCTTCGCATCCTCTCCAGCATTTATTAATGTTTGTATTCTCTATGACTGCCATTATGACTAGTGTGAGATGAAATCTCAGTGTCATTTTGATTTGTGGCATACTTTTGATTATAGAGGTTTTTCTTATGATGCCTCTGGAATTTATTTTGGAATAAGAAATAGGGTTAAGATCTACTTTTTTTTAAACTAAAGTTACTTGTTTTTCGTAACACTATTTATTAAACATCTTATTGTTTCCCAGTAATAGGAATGATGTGGAATGTCACTCTTACCCAAAATTCTCAAGTTAGTTTGGGTTTAGTCTTTTTCAGAAATCTGTCTGCTGATGTGACAGTACCACGCTGTTTATCATAGCATCAGAATATGTCTGAGTGGGCTTAGTTTGTTTTCATTAACTCTACCTTTTTTACAGAACTTTTCTCATGCTTGTTTTCCATAAGATTTTTTAAATTGATTTTTCTAATTGTAAAGAGGAAACTTAAATATTGTTGATTTAATAACTTTCTATGAAAAAAAAAAAAAAAAAAACACCATCATGGGGAAGGTGCACATTAACTACAGGTTACATTCTAATTTCAGAAATTAATTGTGAAAATGTGTACATCTTTAATTCAGGAATTATAGAAAGAAAGGACAGATCCATTGTTGGCAACTTAAAATATTGACTGGCGAGCACAGGGTAACACTGGCTTCATAGCTTTACAACCCAGTCCAAGCTCACCACAAAAAAACATGGTTTTTTCACTGAAGCACACTGGTCAGAAAGGGTCCCTGTCGTTGGGCATTATAAGGAAGGCACTTTTTGTTTTCCCAGAGAGTTCTGAATGTGTCACATCTGAAGAGGCCTTGGGATAGGGTGTCATCTTATCAGGCAGTCATACTGATCTTGGATACATTATTCTCCTGGCAGTAAAGATGTTTTTTCTTTTCCCCCTGACAGGCAGCCTTGTTTGCACTCCAGAAACTTTTTGAAGAGAATTATGCTCCCCGGCCTATCTTTGTAAGTTCTAAAATATTTTGCATGACATATTCTTGTCTTTTATTAATAATTGTCATTTTGAATATAACCCCTAGCCGCCCTCCCCTCCCCAAAATAGAATGATTGACGTTATCTTTTGGAAACCATTTAGTTTAACTTCCTCTGTTCACCTCCTTCCTACACTACCAACTCATTGCAGGTGGGCGGCTCACAAGAAGCCCCCTTAAAGCCAAAGACTTAAAGACCCAGTCTCATTAGGGCCAAGGAAGGATGGGCTTGCATGCTGAATGCCAAGTACCCAGCATTGATGATATTAGACTCCAAGGCATTAACTCAAGGCAGGCCTCTGAGAGTCCTGCTCGGTGAGCATATGACAGAATCAAAACAGGGGTGTTAGATAAATCAAGTATTTAACAGCAGAAGGCTGGGATAACCTGGTATCTCTGGGGAAACTCCTCCAATGGGACTGACATGGATGTGTGATATATTTTTTTTCTTTTTTTCCTAATATTGGGGATTAAACTGAGAGCCCCACAAGTGCTAAGCAAATACTTTGCCACTGAACTATACTCCCAGCCCTGCTTTTTTTTTCCAGGCCTAGGACTGAACTCAGGGCGTTGTGCATGCTAGGCAAGCACTCTGCTGCTGAGCTAAATCCCCAACCCCACTCCCCACCCTTTTTAAAAAATTTTTTAGACAGGGTCTCACGGACTTGCCCAGACTGGTCTTGAACTTTTAATCCTGCCTCAACCTCCCAAGCAACTGGAATTAACAGCATGTGCCACCACACCCAGGTGGATATGTGACGACTTCTGCTGTTGGGGCATTGATTTTTGCCTCATTGACTTTCCCTTTTCTGTTTCTGTGGCTTTCTGCCTCCTCCCCTGGTCACTTGGCATACATCAGTTCTGATCCTTTTGGAAAGTGCTGAATTTGAGTTTCACATTTCTCTTCCTTGTAAAAGAATAAGGAATACTGGTCTATTCATTTTATTTTATTTTGGGGATTATATTCTTTACCTGAATCTATATTGTTGACTTTGTTTCCTTTGTTAATTCAGATTTCAGGGACAATTGTTGATAAAAGTGGGCGGACTCTTTCTGGACAGACCGGAGAGGCATTTGTCATCAGTGTGACTCATGTAGACCCACTCTGGTGAGTGACTCCCTTCCTTGACTCCTTTCTTCTTTGGCAGATCTTTTCTAATAGTTACACATATGACTTGGGTGGGAATTACTTCCCCATAATTCCCTTGTACTACTTCTGTGATGTGTTGACTCTCCTTAGATACTTTCAGACTTTTTCTCAAGGGCTTCAGAACTGCCAAAATGGGTCACTTGAGGGACTGGGAAAGCTGTCCTACCTCTAGGCAGCCATATGCCTTTTCATCTGTAGGTGCCCCCTTGTAGTTAAGACTGTGCTTGGCTAGGTACACTTTTATCAGTCAGTTACATTTTTGGGGCAATGCTTTGCAAATTTAAGGGTAATATCTCCTCCGTATTTATGGGGCAATCAGAAGAATCCTAACTTGGAGTAAGGTGGGAAGCTCAGATTTTTATCTTTTATCAATCTTATAGACTGAAGGGGTATTTAGAAGGCAGCCTTCAATGTGAAAAAGTCCATATGTAAGGAACTATTACTCACTGACTCATGGTTATCACAAACTACCTATTAACAAAGAACAAGCAGACAGAACCCTGTATTACCAATACAGTACTTATTGAAATCCTTCTTTGTGCCTTGAATATTGGCATTTGTGAAATAATCCACACTTGGAGAAGTAAATTTTGTAAGTTGAAAGATAAAATACAAAGCACTGTACAAAAATGTGAAGAAAATCTTGCTATACATAGAGAGATGGCTCTGTAGAGAAGGTGTTATTTGAGCTATGTTGGAAAATGTGAATTAGAGTTTGCTAAGCACAGAGGGGCAAGATAGATACATCAGAATGAGTTCATGTCAGTTTTGTAGATGTATAGTTTACAAAATGATTCTATATATGATGTTTCATTTGAATTTCAACATAACTCTGAAAACTTGAGTTTCTGAATTGATGGAATTATTCCCATCATTCAACAGATGAAGAACTAACTGTTGAATAGACAAATTTGTGCTGGATGCAATGGCATCCGCCTGTAATCCCAGCTTCTTGGAAGGCCAGGACAAGAAGATCACAAGTTCAAGCCCAGCCTGGGAAATTTAGCAAGATCCTATCTCAAAATAAAATATAAAAAGGGCTAGGGATTTAGTTCAGTTGTAGAGCATTTGTCTAGCATGCATAAGGCCTTGGGTTCAATTCCTGGTACCAAAAAAAAAAAAAGTTTGGAATTAAGTTTGGGAAAAAGTCAAACATACATTTTAATGATAACAGTGCTTAAATATATATGTGTACACATACACACACATACACACATACATACATTTTGCTTTTTACATGGTGTTGAATCCAGGTGATAGAATTGTAAGATGAAAGAAAATGTTAAATTGCCAAATGGGACTGGTAAAACAGCTAGACTAAATAGGTCTGTTCAAGGGTTGTTAGTCATGCATGGAACTTAGCATTTTTTTTTTTTTTTTTTGGACTGGGATTGAACTCAGGGATGCTCTACCATTAAGCTTAACCCCCAGTCCTTTTTGTTTTTTTAATTTTTTGAGACATGGTCTCACTAAGTTGCTCATGCTGGCTTCCAACTTGTGATCCTTTTGCTTCAACCTTCTGAGTCACTGAGATTATAGGTGTGTACCTTCATGCCTGGCTGGACCTAGCAATTGAAAATTTGAGCAGAAAAGTACAGAAAGCCCTCATACACTTCCTCCCTGGCTCTTGAAAACCCCCAGTGTTCTGTTATTAATATCTTGCCTTGGTACAGTATGGTATGTTAAGATATGAACCAATATCAAGATATTAACTGAAGGCCATAGTCTATATTAGAGTTCATTCTTGGTGTTTACATGCTATGAATGTTTTTGTTTTTGTTTTCATTTTTTTTCTGGGAATATTCATTTCCCCCCTTTTTTTTGGTGGATTATAATTATACATAACAGTGGGATTTGTTAGGTTCATACATACACACAACAAAACAATATAATTGGATCAGTTTCACTCCCCAGGATCTCCCTTTTCTCTCCCCTCCCACCCCTTATCTCCTTCTATTCTACTGATCTCCCTTCTATTTTTTTTTTTTTTTTTTTGATTTTTCTAATTAGTTATATATGACAGTAGAATGCATTTTGACACATTGTACCCAAATGGAGCGCAACTTCTCATTCCTCTGGCTGTACATGGTGCAGTTACTCCAGTAGTGTAATCATACATGTTTATAGGATAATAATGTCTGTCTCATTGTATGTTTTTCCTATCCCTGTAGGATGGGAAAAGGCCCCACCCCTCTCCTCCACACAATTTAAAGTTCCTTCATTCTTCCCCACTATGGATAAGTATCCTCTTATCAGACAAAACATTTGGCCTTTGGTTTTTTTGGGGATTGGCTTATTTCACTTAGCATGATGTTCTCTAGTTCCATCATGTACCTGCAAATGCCATAATTTTATTCTTTAAGGCTGAGTAATATTCCAATATGTATCACATTTTCTTTATCCATTCATATGTTGAAGGGCATCTAAGTTGTTTCCATAGTTTAGCTATTGTGAATTAGGCTGCTATAAACATTGATGTGGCTGTGTCATTGTAGTATGCTGATTTTTAAGTCTTTGGGTATAAACCGAGGAGTGGGACAGCTAGGTCAAAGGGTGGTTCCATTCCAAGTTTTCTGAGGAATATCCACACTGCTTTCTACAATGTTTGCACCAATTTGCAGTCTCACCAGCAATGTATGAATGTACCTTTTTCCTCACATCCTTGCCATCAGTTATTATTGCTTGTATTCTTGATAATTGCCATTCCAACTGGAGTGAGATGAGATCTTAGAGTAGTTTTGATTTGCATTTCTCTAATTGCTAGAGATGATGAACATTCTTCCATGTATTTGTTGACCTATCATATTTCTTCTTCTGTGAAGCGTCTGTTCAGTTAGTTCTTTTGCCCATTTATTGATCGGGTTATTTGGGGTGTTTTTTGGTGTTAAATTTTTTGAGTTCTGTGTCCCTTATATTTCCAGGAGATTAGTGCTCTATCTGAGGTGCGTGTGGTAAAGATTTTTTTCTCATTCTTTAGGCTCTGTTTTCACATTATTGATTGTTTCCTTTGCTGAGAAGAAACTTTTTAGTTGGAATCAGTCCCATTTATTGATTCTTAATTTTACTTTTTGCACTGTAAGAGTCCTGTTAAGGAAGTCAGGTGTGAAGCCAACATGATGAAGACTTTGTCCTACTTTTTCTTCTGTTAGGCATAAGGTCTCTGTTCTAGTGTTTTTTATTCACTTTGAGTTGATTTTTGTGCAGGGTGAGAGATAGAGGATTAATTTCATTTGCTACATGTGGATTTCCGTTTTCCCAGCACCATTTGTTGTATAGACTATCTTTTCTCTAATGTATGCTTTTGGTGCCTTTGTCTAGTATGAGATAATTGTATTCACAGGGTTTGTCTCTGGGCATTCTATTTTGTACCATTGGTCTACATGTCTATTTTGTTGCCAATACCATGCTGTTTTTGTTACTGTGGCTCTGTAGTATAGTTTAAGGTCTGGTATTGTGATGCCTCCTGCTTCACTGTTCTTACTGAGGATTACTTTGTCTATTCTGGGCCTCTTATTTTTCCAAATGAATTTCATGATTGCTTTTTCTAGTTCTATGAAGAATATCATTGGGATTTTAATAGGAATTGCATTAAATCTGTATATCAGTTTTGGTAGTATGGCCATTTTGACAATATTAATTCTGCCTATTCAAGAGCATGGGGGATTTTTTTGTTTTTGTTTTTAGTTGTAATTGGACACAATACCTTTATTTATTTTTATGTGGTGTTGAGGATCAAACTCAGTGCCTTACACCTGCTAGGTGAGCACTCTACTGCTGAGCCACAACCCCAGCCCCATGGGAGATCTTTTATCTTCTAAGATCTTCTTCAATTTCTTTCTTTAGTGTTCTGTAGTTCACTGTAGAGGTCTTTCACCTCTCTTCTTAGATTGACTCCCAAGTATTTTATTTTTTTGAGGCTATTGTGAATGGGATAGTTTTATAAATTTCTTTTGTGGTGGATTATCACTTATGTATAGATATGCATTTGATTTTATGGGTATTGATTTTTATTCCTGCTACTTTCCTGAGTTCATTTATTAGTCCTAGAGTTTTCTGGTGGAATTTTTGGAATCTTCTAAATATAGAATCCTATTGTTAGCAAATAGTGATAGTTTGAGTTCTTCTTTTCCTATTTGTATCCCTTTAATTTCTTTTGTCTGCCTGATTGCTTTGGCTAGATTTTCCAGGACTGTGTTGAATGGAAGTGGTGAAAGAGGGCATCCCTGTCTTTTTCCAGTTTTTACAGGGAATGCTTTCAGTTTTCTCCATTTAGAATGGTGTTGGCCTTGGGTTTAGCATAGATAGCTTTTACAATGTTGAGGTGTGTTCCTACTATCCCTAGTTTTTCTAGTGTTTGCACATGAAGAGGTGCTGTATTTTGTCAAATTCTTTCTCTGCATCTATTGAGATAATCATATGATTCTTGTCTTTAAGTCTTTTGATGTGATGTATTATGTTTATTGATTCCTGTATGTTAAACCAACCTTGCATCTCTGGGATGAACCCCACTTGATTATGGTGCACATTTTTAAAAAATATTTTATTAGTTGTCAATGGGCCTTTATTTTATTTATTTATACATGATGCTGAGAATCGAACCCTTTGCCTCACACATGTTAGGCTAGTGCTTTTCTACTGAGTTGCAACCCCAGCCTGCACTATCTTTTTAATATATTTTTGTATGTGATTTTCCAGAATTTTATTGAGAATTTTTGCTTCTATGTTTATCATGGACATTGGTCTGAAGTTTTCTTTCCTTGATGTGTCTTTGTCTGGTTTTGTTATCAGGGTGATACTAGCCTCATAGAATGAGTTTAGAAGGTTTCCCTCACTAATTTGAAGAGTATTGGTATTAGTTCTTCTTTGATGGTCTTGTAGAACTCAGCTAAGAATCTGTTTGGTACTGGGCTTTTCTTTGTTGGTAAGCTTTTGATGGCATCTTTTATTTAATTGTTTGA